CTGATAGCCTTTCTTAATTCCTTCAGTATTTTCATTATCTCCTTCTTGAAACTGGCGTCTGTTAGACTGAAGAGGTCTGTTTCATTCTTTGTTCTTTCAGGGGAATTCTCTTGGTCTTTTAACTGGGAATGGGTTCCTCCCCTACTTTATTTTACTTATATTTCTCTTACTCTGTGAGTTTAGGAGAAACAAACAATTATCTACTGTGGTCTTGGAGGGCTATTTATATGTGGGGGCATCCCTGGGTAGCTTGTGTGGGTTTAATATATTTGGTGCAAGGGCTGTTTTTAGTAGAGATGCCTGTTGCCTCTTTCCTCAGCATGTGCTGATCATTAGCCCCTTAATATGGGGTATGCAGATGTGATGGCTGGTGCCATTCCTGAGGTTCTTGGTGGCAGTGGCAGCTCAGGTGCGCCCCTGGAGTACACCATGGTGGCTTAGGCAGCTCATGACCACTCCTGGGGTCCGGGAGGGTGGTGGTGGCTTGTGACCTCTCCTGGCATCTTTTCCAGGGCTCAGCCTTCCTGATTGAATTTTGAATTTTTTCTTTAAGGAATACTACTTATTAATGATCCCTTATGTCCCCTCCCCATTCTCATTTTTCCCTTTCTTCATCACATTGCAGCTTATGTTCCAAATTTTGGGGAAAATAAAAACTACTGGGGAACCCGTCCCCATTGCTCTAAAGGGTAAGCCAAGAGCCCCATCTCCCTCATAGAGAAAAGCCTGCCTTTGAATCAAGAGTGAATTTGACTTGTTAAGTAGCAAAAGTATCCACTTCAAAATTCTTTCCTGTTTAAAAAAAAAAAAAAAAAAAAAAAAATCTCTTGTTCAGACAAATTATCCAGAGCTCAGAAATACAGCAAAAGATACCTGCAGCCCTTGTCAGGGCCATACCAGAACACTGTCAAAAAGAGGTGTACCCAAGGATTATGGAATTCTCTAGGTAATGTACCTTTGTCCGTTCACTAATGACATGTGGTTAGGGCCCCCATTCTGTGAAGCCACATGTTAATTTACAGATTTTTGTTTGATAAAGTTCCAAATGATTTCTGTCCATTTGAAAAACTAACCCCCCAAAATTCTAATTGTATTGCCCTGCAGGATATTATTCAGTTCTGTCGCTAACTCATTTTGCCTCTCCTGGTGGACTAAGATACCTGATAGTCTTTGAACCCACTTATCACCTTGTAGTTTTCCTCATTAATGGGTTAGGTAAGTCACTGACATATTTCCATTCTCTATTTACATGAAAGTCTCGTTTTTAGCCTTGTTGATATCATATAGGGGCCTGCTTCCTTTGCTTAGTGCGCAGAAAAGAGCAGGCCTGGCTGCTATCCTTATAAGGTTGGCCCATGGCTGACATCTGGGAAGTTGGATTTTATGAAGTTTCCCGCCACCCTGATAAGAGTGGCTCATGGAGCCTAAACAGTTTGTACAAACAATATGGTTTGCATTGAATACCAGCTTTCCTTCTAGGAGTCTGGAATTTTGGTATAGTGCCAGGCACAGGGTGCCTTCATAACCAGACCCTAAGAACAACCCCGGGTCCTGAGACTCCAGGGAGGTTCCCTGGTAGGTGAGGACATTTCATACATGTTGTCACAAATTGTTGCTGGGTGAATGAAGTGTATCCTGTGTCACTCCATTGGATAAAAACTCTTGAAAACTTGCACCTGGTTTCCTCCAGACTTTGTCCCATGTGCCTTTTCCCTTTGCTGATTTTACTCTCTACCCTTTTACTGCAATAAGTCATAATTGTGAGTTCATGAGTACAATGATATACTGACTCTTGTGGGTCCTCCTAGCAAGTCACTGCTTCAAGGGGTCCTCGGGCTCATCCCCAGATTCAGTTAGTTACAGGCATTTTTACATACATTATTTTTTTGCAAATTTTTCTACAAATTCATTTTCACAAAACAATTGTAAAGTGTTCTCTTAAAAACTGGCTAGATCCTGTTTGATGTTAAGCAAGGCCCAGATTTCATGGAGGAGGACTATCCCTCCCAAGATCAATCAAGTGAAAACCTTACATTTCGTCTCTAAAAACCAAATTTTGGAATCAACTCACTGGTGTCCTGATACGATCCATCAGGGCAGTGAGTGACACAACTGTTCGTTTCCTCATTCAGGAAGTATCCATATTTACAGGACAGGCACTGGTCCCCGTGGCTCCCAAAGCAGGACTCGCAGTTGGGAGCACACTTTCTGCATCGCTTCTTGTCAGCGTGGTAGTGGCCAGAGGGGCAGCTGGAGACGCAGATCCTGCGTTGTGGAATGATAAGAAAGAAGGGCAGTGTCACCAGAGATTCAGTCCTGAGTGAGGTGCTGAGCACATAGCTGTCCTCACTCTCAAAATCCTTTTTAACCATGATGGTAACACCACATCCTAAGGGCCAAATTCTGTTGGTTAAAGCCTTCCCCTGTGTAGGGTGCTGGCATAGCACTGCAGTTACATAATACCAAGTCCACCAAGGAAGGCATGTCTTGGTCCAAACCATCTTCCAGTTCGGGTCTAGCTCTTTAAAGGGGATGATGGTTAGAAACTGAGTCTCAACAAGAAGGCTGTGCTGTTGGGTTGAAGGGAAAACATGTGCAAACCATGATTTTATGCAAAAAGGCCCTAATAAGGGGTTACTTCTATTGTTGTGTTTGTCATATGAATCCTGTGTGTATGGGTGGTGACCGTGATGGTGGTTGTACACTACTGTCTAAATTAATATAAATATATTTAGGGAGTTCCCTAGTGGTTAGGATTCCGGGCTTTCATTGCTGTGGCCTGGGTTCAGTCCCTGGTTGGGGAACTGAGATCCTGCAAGCTGTGCGGTGTGGCCAAAAAAAAAAAAAAAAATTTTATGTTGTTTATGATAAACAAAAAAATGACTACCTTGCTTGCCCATAACTGAAGGTCTGGGCTTTATGTATTCATTTAACAAGTACTTACTGAGTACCAATTAAACATCAGGCATTTGCTAAGTCTAGGAGCTAATGAGAGGGGCTGAGGTAGCCAAGGGGCTTTCCCTTTAAGGAATTTATTCTTTCTTTTTAATTAAAAAAAATATTTTTAGACATTTAAAAAATTTAATTTTATATTCCCTTTAAGGAATTGAAATTCCAGCATGGATGTGAGAGGAACAGGACCACGCCTGGGGAACTGGAGTACGGATGCACCGCAAGTTGGCTCCCTGTGAGTTTCCTCCTGAAAGAGGAGGGGGAGGTGGTCGGGATGTGAGAGACACGCCTGGAAGAGCACGGCCTCTGACGGGCAGTCACTGTTCCCTGGCCCTCCCTGTGGGTACATATCTGCTTGAGTCAGAAGCCAGGGGCTCAGAAGCACAGGGTCCAAGCAGGCCCGCCTCAGTGCCCAGAGTGGAGTAGTGAGAACGTGCAGGGTCCAGCAGCTTTGCCACATGGAGGGCTTACACTTTGGGGAATTCGGGAAAGCATCCATTTGGCTTGTGTACTGGCATTTTCATGAAGGGCAAATGCAGCTGTGGCATCAAACGTCAATGGGATAGAAAGGTCTAGAGGGGAAGACCAGGCATGTGCATAGCTAGTCCCTCCCCATCATCCTCTGAAATGTGAGGAAAGACGTTTGCAGTTTGCTAGCCTACAGGTCCATTTGATGTTTTGTAATTCAGTATCAGTTTCACCATTCTGAATGATGGGACGGGGTGGGGGGGGGGGGCAGCAGCATCTCTTCTGGGCTTTGGTCCTGGTGGGAGAACATGGAACGCACTGCCTGTGGTGACCCTGTGGGAGCTCCCAGGAACACCAGGGGGCGTGCTGCAGGGGGTCTGATGTGGCTTCTCCCTTACCTGGTGTTGTTTTTCAGCTTGTAGTAGTAGTGCAGACAGTCATTGCAGTGGTCCGGTCCTGGCCCATCACAGCCTACCTCACTGCACTCAGGGTCACAGGGACCTTCCAAAAGAAATCAGAACAACACTTGGAAAAAATGATTTTAAGGCAGGTAAGCTTTACCTTGAATTATAAATAGGTGTTTTTCTCCCTTAGGCAGTGAGAGTTTTCTTTAAGAGTTTCTAATGCAGTGAGGTGGAGTAATGTTCAATGTAGCTGTAAGCCCAGAGTGAACTCTTGACTTTTTTGGGGAAAACCTGAATTACCTAAGTATCAAGCATGTAAATCCTAGTCAGGGCCTGGTCTTCAAAGCATATGGTTGCCTTGTTGGAGAAGACAATTAATTCAGAATTCAGAAGAACAATGCCATTGCAGCAACTAGAAAAAAACTGATTGCAATTAAATATGCATAATGATGAAAATGTCGGATGGAAAAATGAGAATTTAAGCTGTTGACAGAAAGGAAAAAAGGATTATTATTCAATGCCCTGACCAGATTGTCTCTCTCATCCAGGGTCATTAAAGTCACCGAGTACCTCTGAGATACTGGAGCCAGCAAGAAACCTCATTATGGCATCGGGCACAATTCTATCCGCATCTCATTTTGGATTACAAAGCAGGTACTTCAGGCACAGATAACAGATTTAAAATTGCATCCTACCCATAGGCCAATGGGCGGCTCAACAAAAAGAAAACTACACACACATTTTAAAGATGCAAGCAAGCTTAAAGAATTCCAAACCTGGAATGAAGGTTCCTAATCTCTCTCTTGCTGCGTATTCTTTGCACAGGCAGGAAAAAACCGCCAGAAAGATGGAGCTACTTTGTGGTTGATGAAAAGTTTTCTAATGACATGGGCTAGTTATAGGTATTTTGCTTGCTTGACTAACTCGCTTTTTTCCATATTTTGAGAGATTTGGTCTCATAGAATCTTGAAGCTCTTTCCCATTGAAAACTCATATGATTTTAACTAGCAATAAACATGGTGCATGAAATGCACAAAAAGTAAGTCAAGGGTACCAGAAATGTCTTGAGCCAATACTTATTTTAATAAAAAGGACTTACTTTTGTTGAAACTTGGTCTCCTTTAGTCATTGTAGGACTATGTTCTACAGTTACTGAATTGAAACGTAAAATGGTTGGTAGAAGTGGGGAGGAATGACTCAGAGAAAAATCTAGTAGTCAAACAAACACCGTCATTTGACAGATAAAAACGATTTTCCAAGAGTTACGGTGGCTTGCCCAGTATCATATGGCTAGGAGAGTTGGGATCAACGGAGGTCCTGCTTCTTATTCTTAGTCCAGGTCTCCTACTTACGGGTAGTAAATCATGACCTTTGGATCTGAATGGAAATGAGTTATCTCAAAATGCTGCAGACTTGAAGTATATTTCTGATTAATCATGAAGTCATTTGACAGCACTGTTTATCTCTATTTTCCCAAAAGCCTTAAAATTTGATCTTTAAATTCCACGGCTAGCGCAGCTTGGAACATTTTAGCTGACCGCTACGGTACATGAGGAGAGAGTGTCTCTCCTGTGTAAGGGTTGAAGTGCACCCGGCTGTGGGTCCCACAGTCCCTGGAATTGGATGAAACAGTACAGGGATCTGGTTATGATAATGCCATCTGTGCCTGTAGAGAGGCTGACTTCTTAATGAAGGTGAAAATCACAGCTCCAAAGAAAAGGAATCATGGGTGGCCCTAAATTTTCACTGGATGTTTTCTACAATTAAAACAACCCAAACCACTTATTCTTGATAATGTGCCAAAGAGCTGTGTATGGCAAGTTCACATGCAGTGCTGTTTCTTTCATAATCTTAAACTGTCCCAGAGGCAATTTAGCATTTTAGGTTGCTGGGTAATAATGAAGTAATTGTCTTTGATCTCTCACAAGCACCAATGTGGACATTTTGGAGATGTAGTGAGAAAAACCACAAAGATGTGTAACTGTTCAGAATTTTAACATTACCAAAATTTGAATTGGAAACATACCGTAAGGCACATAGTAATATATTACTATTATACTCCATTTATGTTTTTAGATATACTTTCTCCTACCAGAGAAGACAAAATGGTTTGCTGGTTATAACATCAGTAGTAATGTTATAAGCTCAAAGCAAAATAAGACAAAAATTGAACACAATCTAGTTCTGGTTAGCTCAATTGGTCTGAATTCTCTAAGCTTATTATTGACACAGGGACACCACCTATTTAGAATAAAAGGAACCAAATGCATATTTATTGAAAATACTCTGTTAAAGTGATTGATTAATGAAAAAGAACCTTAGAGAGCTGAGCTGTAAGAAAAAAAAAAAGTTCCTGTCTAAAGGTATGTTAAACTGCTATGTACGAACAGGTCTCCATTAGGAGAAGCTTTGTTCCTTAAGTGTTATATATGATATCCCAGAAGGACTGAATGCTGCTGGAAGTGGTAGCCAATGCAACAAGACAGGAATCAGAAATACACTGGGAAAGAGAAAAAATAATTTGCAGATGATATGGCTACAGTACCTAACTGCCCCAGAAAATCAACTCTAAAACATACAAATTAATAAAAGTTAAGCAAAATGGCCAGATGTAAGATACACACACAATAGCCAACAGATATCCCTGCTACCAGAATATAATAGTTAGAAAATATGGAATATTTTCCACTACAGTAGCAACAAGACCTAAAATACTTAGAAATAACACTAACAAGAATAACACTACATAAAATTAAGAAGATTTCAGTAAAATGGGATACGGTCTGTGTTTTGGATGGAAAGACTGTACGTTGTAAAACAGTTCTTCCCATGAGATTGCATGTAAATTCAAACTAAATTTCAATGAGATTTTTAAAGGGGGATTTAAGAATTGCTGTGAGAACAAGAAGTAGACGTTCAGCAGATATTAAAATACAGTGTGGGTGCCAGTGGATCAAGAATTATTAGATTGGTAAATCGGAAAAGATGGTACCAGAAGAGACCTGGTATAAGAACTTACATCCTAAACTAATAAAAGAAAGGATGGCAACTCAGTTATTGATGTTAGTCTGTTTGGAAAATAAAGACAGGACTTCACAATATATATATTAAAAATCAAAGATTACAAAAAAATAATCCACGTGAATATTTAGCAGATGTTAAAGAAGAGACATTCTGTAAAAAAGAAATTACAAATGTTATCTGAAACGATAAACTCTGCTCTCCAATTTTCTTTTTCTCAACAACACAAAACAAAAAGTACGTTTCGGAAGCGAGAAAATGTTTTCAGCCAATATGAGACGATGAGAGAGTCAATAACATACAAAGAGTTTTTATAAATAAGAAAATTACTGCCACTTTGAATAGAAAAGTGAGTAGAAGACATATTTCATTCAGAGAACACAAAGGAAAAAATGTTTAGATTTACTAGCAATCAAAGCTATAAAAATTTAAACATGTTCTTTTCTTTCTTTTCTACTTTTTTCTTTCCACTTAATGCTGGCAGGAATGAGTGTAGTAAACACTCACACAGTGGTCACAGTGCAGACTGGTATATCTTGTCTGGAAAGCAACATGACAAATCATATCCAAGCCCTAAAACTGATGATTCCCTTTGATGCAGTAATTCTTAGAACTCTATTTTAAAGACGTAGTCAAAGATATAGTCAAAAACTGATAATGGTATTCTTTGAAACCTTATTTAAAATAGTATAAAACTCTAAGCAAACTACACATCCCAGGTTATGGATTAAATACATTACAACAGGATGGACTGTTATGCTGCCTTTAAAATATGTGTTCTAAGGATACTTGACAACAGGGAAATATGCTCTTAATGATACCTCTAATGGACAAAAAAGAATATGAATGTTCCTTATACAGTGTGATTTTAGCTTTGAAGAAGAAAACATGAATATTTGAATACTCGAATGTACACATACCAATATTCAAGGAAAAGAAAGGAAGATGGAATAAAATATATCAGAATATGAGTAGAGGTTTATCTCTTTGGGGGAATGATGCATGAGCTTTCTTTCCTTAGCCTGCCTCCCCATTGGAAGCCAGCTCACCTGCATAATCCTCTGTCCCATAGTCATCAGTGGGGTCTTCAACGCGGCTATACCGGACACGTTCCACTTTAGGAAACTCATTGGTGGGTGAGTATGGCTGCACGGAGGTGCCGTAGAGGACCAAAGACCATTCTTTCAATTTACCTTGGGAAATAATGAAAGCATATCATGACCAAACATTCCCTCTTCAGCTTTATAATCTCTTTAATTCCTTCTCACTGAGGAAAAAGCAAGAGTAGAAGAATTGTGGGAAACAGATACATATGAATCGTTGCCTCAGATACAGGACTGGAAACGCATTTTCCAACACTTGCAGAGTTAACTATTTAATAATTCACATACCACATATTTACTGAGTACCAAACGTAGGATACACCTTAATTGAATCAGCATTTTGTCTGTGTGTGGGAAACAAACACATCTCAGATTTCTGCATCAAGGGCTGAGTTTCAAATTATGGATATTTAAGAGAATCCCAGAATTTTACTGAAGTCCTTCTTTTTCTAGGTATAAAGGTCTTACATGAATTTAAAAAAACTGTTGGCATTATCTGACTTGTTTATCAAAGAAAGATGAAAACAACTACTTTGTTCCACCTGAAATGTTAAGAATACATCACTACATTATCCTGTAGACACGTGCTGTCCAATGATAGCCACTAGATCCATTTGGATATTTCCGTTTAAATTAACTAAAATTTAAAACTTCAGTTCCTCAGTTAGACCACATTTCAAGTGCTCCGTAGCCACATGTGGCTAGTGGCCACCACGATGAACAGCACAGATACAGGAAACATTTCTACCACTGGCAGAATGTTCTACTAGGCAGTGCTGTCATAGAGCATTTTCTGGTCAAGGGTGCTTGCAGATGTGAGGGAAGTGTTTTACCTCCTTTGGATGGTAGGCTTTCAGGGAACATTTGCTTTAGCTTAGTCCTTATTTATACATTTATTTCTTAGCTTTATAAAACTAAAGTCTTTAATGCAAAAAGTAAACAAACAGAAGACAACTGTCTCCTGGCCATTAAGCTTAATTTGGTTCTTTTTTTATATGAATCTTAAAGTTATTAAGACAAAACCATTAAAAACGTGGAAATATGCTGGCAGGAAGGTAGGATAGCCCTCCCCCCCACCTTAGAGCTCCTCCTCACCTTGGCCTAATGCAGAGAATCCAGGCAAGGTTAGGGCTGGGCTCTGTCACAGCCCAGAGAGGGATGAATTTCAGGTGTCTGCTAATTCATCTAATAGCAACTATATTCACCATCAAATTGATGCTTATTTTCTATAAGTGCCTGCTATACAGTAAGTAAGTTTTATTCCATTCAGTGGTCTCAACAACTGGGAAATAGGTACTTGTAGTCCCAATATATAGATGAGGAAACTGAGGCACAGAGGTTGGTAACTTTCCCAAGGGCAGTAAGAGGACAGACTGATATCAAAATCTATTTGGGGGTTCTGATTTAAGATGGTAATATAGGAAGATCCTGAATTCACTGCTTTCCATAAACCTGTTGAATCTGTAGCCACATATGGAACAATTTCCTCTGGGGAAAAAAACCCCAAACTAACTGAGTGGCTCCTACGCGTCAGGCAAACAAGAAAACCCCAGATCAAAATGGGTAGGAGAGGCTTAGATGCACCTTACCATAAGCCCCACCCCCCAGTGCTACAACCCACAATCGAGAGGGGACTCAAAAACCCCCAGCTTCTTCCCGAGGACTGAAAGGTTTGAGCACCACATTGGGTACCACAACTTTTAAGACCTGCACCTGAGAGATGAGCCCCCAAACCATGTAGCTTTGAAACCCAAAGGGGCTTGGGTCCACAAGACCCATAAGACCGTAGTGAACTGAGCAGTTCTTAAAGAGCTCACCTGCATGGACTCTCACTCCAGGGTGCTGTGCAGAGGCAGTCGACCGAAAAGCACCCAGACTTTCCGTGAAGAAGGCTTATTTGCTTATCTTAAAGCACTGGCCGAGGGTCAGGCATCTAATTTAACATATAGAAAAGGGCCTACTGAATACTGTCCAAACATGGAGGCTCACTGGAGCCATCTGTGTGTTCTCCCTTGGCCTGCTCCAGCTTGCTGGTACCAACAAGAAAGGAGCTTGTACTCTCAGCTGGCACCTAGGGGACACCTCTAGGTTGCTGGCTCTGGTGGCCAGTGTGGCTTAGGCTCACGGGTCCCCTAGGACTCTGAACAAAATTGACAGACCTTTAGGTGGCCTCACCAAGAAGGAGAGAGAGAAGACTCAAAATCAGGAATGAAAGAGGAGACATTTTAACTGATACCATAGAACTACAAAGGATCATAAAAGACTACTATCAGCAATTATACCCAACAAATTGGAGGACCTATAAAAAAAAGGATAAATTCCTAGAAACATACACTCTACCAAGACTGAATCATGAAAAAATTGAAGATTTGAACAGACCAATTACTGTAAGGATCAATAATCAAAAACTTCCCAACAAAGGAATGTCCAGGATTAGACACCTTCACTGGTGAATTCTACCAAACAGTTAAAGAAGAATTAATACCAATCCTTCTCAAGCTCTTCCAAAAAACAGAATAGGAAGGAATACTTCCAAACTCATTTTATGAGGCCAGTATTACCCTGATATAAAAACCAGACAAGGATGCCGCAAGAAAAGAGAATCCCTGATAAACATAGATGCAAAAATCCTCGACAAAATATTAGCAAACTGAATACAACAATACATTAAAAGGATCATACATCATGATCAAATGGGATTTATTCCAGGGATGAAAGGATGTTTCAACATCTGTAAATCAATGTGATTTGACACAGTAACAAAACGAAGGATAAAACTCATAATTATCTCAATAGATGCAAAAAAGCACTGACAAAATCCAACGTCCATTTATGATAAAGACTCTCAACAAAGTGGTTATAGAGGGAACACATATCAACATAATAAATCAGGAACAAGGATGTAGGCAGGAAAAAGAAATAAAAGGCATCCAAGTTAGAAAGGAAGAGGTAAAACTGTTACTGTTATATATAGACTCCACCAGAAACTCAGAACTAAGCAACACATTCAGAAAAGTCTCAAGATACAAAATCAGTATACAAAAATCTGTTGCATTTCTTTACACTAATGATGAACTATCAGAGAAATGAAGAAAGCAATCCTATTTACAACTGCATCGAAAGAATAAAATACCTAGGAATAAATTTAACCAAGAAAGTGAGAGATCTGTACACTGAAAACTATATGAAATTGATGAAATAAACTGAAGACACAAATAAATGGAAAGATATTCCATGCTCATAAATTAGAAGAATACTGTAAAGATGTCCATACTACCCAAAGCAATCTACAGATTCAATATAATCCCTAGGAAAATTCCAAAGGCATTTTTCACAGAAATAGAACAAACAAACCTAAAATTTTTATGGACCCACAAAACACCCCAAATAGCCAAAGCAATCTTGAGGAAGAAGAAAAAAGCTGGAGGTATCACGCGCCGTGATGTCAAACTATACTACAGAGCTATAATAATCAAAACAGTATGGTACTGACATAAAAACAGACACATAAATGAATGAAACAGAATAGCAAACCCAGAAATAAACCCACACATATAGGGTCAATTGATTTATGACAAAGGAGCCAAGAATATACAATGGGGAAAAGGCAGTCTTCAATAAATGGTGTTAGAAAAACTGGACCACTATCTAACACTATGCACAAAAACTAACTCGTAATGGCTTAAAGATTTGAATGTTTAAGACCTGAAACCATAAAACTTCTAGAAGAAAACCTAGGTGGTAAACTCCTTGACACTGATCTTGGGAATGGTTTTTTGTATTTGACAACAAAAGCAAAGGGAACAAACGCAAAAATAAATAAGTGGGACTACATCAAACTATAGAGCTTCTGCACAGCAAAGGAAACCATCAACTAAATGAAAAGGTAACCTATGGAAACTATTTGCAAATCATATATCTGGTAAGGGGTTAATATCCAAAATATGTGAAGGTCTCATACAACTCAATAGCAGAAAAATAATCTGATTAAAACACGGGCAGAGGATCTAAATAAACATTTTTCAAAAGAATACATACAGATGGCCAACATGAAAAGGCACTCAGAATCACTAATCATCAGGGAAATGCAAATCAAAACCACAATGAGCTATATTACCTTACACCTGTTAGAATGACTATTATCAAAAAAAACAAACGTTGGAGAGGCTGTGGAGAAAAGGGAACCCTTGTGCACTGTTGGTGGGAATGTAAATTGGTACAGCCTCTCTGGAAAACATTATGGAGTTTCCTCAAAAAATTAAAAATAGAACTACCATATGATCCAACAATTCCACTTCTGGGTATCTATCTGAAAAACAAAAGAAAAACACTAACTCTTAAAGTTACATGTACCCACAAGTTCACTGCAGCATTATTTACAATAGCCAAAACAAGGAAGCGACCCAAATGTCGACTGATGGATGAATGGGTAAAGAAAATATATCTGTATATATATGTGCACGTGTGCGCGCGCACACACACACACACACACACACACACACACACACAATATTACTGGGCCACAAAAAGGGGGAATCTTGCCTTGTGTGAAAACATGGATGGACCTTCCTAAGTGAAGTAAGTCAGACAGAAAAAGACAAATACTGTATGATCTCACTTACATGTGAAGTCTTAAAAAAATAAAATACAAGAAGTAAAAGACAGAAATCATAGATATACAAAACAGATTGGTGGTTGCCAAAGGCAGGGGGTAGGTAGGGGTGAGTGAAATAGGTGAAGGGGGTCAAAAGATACAAAGTTCCAGTTAAAAAACATATAAGTCCTGGGGATGTAATGTACAGCAATGGTGAGTATAGTTAATAGTAGTGTACTGTATATTTCAAAGTTGTTAAAACAGTGTATCTTAAAAATTCTCATCACAAGAAAAAAAATTTTGTAACTATGTGAGGTGATGGATGTTAACTAGACTTACTGTGGTGATCATTTCACAATATATACAAATATCAAATCATACAGCTGTACACCTGAAACTAATATTTCAATTATCCTTCAATTAAAAAAAAATTATGTATCCAAATCTTGCATTCTTAAACTATTATATAATTCTGCCTTCCTTGTCATTTCTAGGAGTTTAGGAACTTGAAGTTTAAAAATGAACATATTCTGGGCCACATTCATTGTTTTCTGACATCTGCACTGGGCCAGCACACTGGTTTATATTTGGTTTGCCCTCTGCCAGGTTTTCTTTGGACTCACTTGTTAATGACTCTCCTATTCATAATTAGGGTGTTGTTCAGTCTCAGAATTTCAAGTAGTGTCAAGAAATGAATGACTACCTGAAATTAATGACCAATCTGACTGCCTTTAGGTAGCAATGCAAAAGAGAACCTATTTTCCTTATGGCATCTCTCAAGTGCACAAATGGAACACATAATACAAGGACACTATGTCAGTTACTCTAAAACCTGGTCCCTTTAACTTAAGATGATTTTATCTAAAAGTTTACCCTTGTAAGTGTTTAAAGAGTGTTGACTCATAACTGATTATTTCCCTTGGTGCCATTTCTGAAGTACATCATAAGCCCGCTGGGCAGTTTCTCTCTTTATTTTTCACTTATTATGTAATTTTATTTCCTTAGGATCTCTGCCACAATTCACATCAAATGCTGCCATATTTGGGCCGTCACTTTTTCCCTCCCCTATCACTTTTCCATTTGCTAAATTCTATAGCAGACTTTGCAATAGATACTGCAACATCTTGTGAAAAATAGCAGTGTAAATGCAGAATGAGAAAAAATCCATTCTACTTGCTAACACTTAGATGCAATCTGCCCAAGATAGAAAACCCAAGATAGATTTAATATGCAATGAAACAAAAACAACAACAAAAATGCCTCCAAAAATCCTTAGTATGTGTTTTAATAATAAGCAAATGGGAAGAACTAATATACAAATAGAAACTCAGCTTAGAGCCAGGAACCTCCATACTTGGGAATGATTCTACCATTTAATTGGGCCAGAAGATTCTATGTCTCCAACTGAATTTCGAGTAGCTTACTAAAGAAACCCCTCATTTAATTAGAGGACTGTACACCATAGGAACAATGATAGAAACACACAAACACACAGAGAAAAGTAAAAGTCCCTTTTCAAAGTTGTGTCTAATTCCGAACTGAAAGGTTGGTTGAAGAAAGGATACCCGGAGACCATGTGTTTCTATTAAAGCCTCCTGACCCCAGGCTGTATAGCATTAGGGTATCTCTCTTCTGACACAAAAGAACATCTCTAAGATGACTGGAGGTGACTGGGGTTAAATGCAAACATTTAAACAGTATAAGGAGAAGCCAGTGATATCAAATGGACAACTCTACATGATCTGGAATACTGCAGAGAGCTTTTAACACAGATAATCACAGTAAACTCTGGATAGACTCTGAACTCCTTGAGGGCAGAGAGATTTATGTTAGCCTCTCATGCTTGCACACCAACCCCAGGTCTACCATTAGTATGCCCCTAGGGGCAGTCTTTGCTTGTGGGGAGGAGCATTTTATCACTGACATGCTTTAGAATGGTGATAATAAAGAGTCACATTTATAACTGTCTTAAAGTATCAATAGATAATGCACCCCTTATGTCTGTACCCTAGGCTGCACCCCTGTTGGTACACAACTGCCACGTTTGGACAGTGTTTATTTCTCTGGGTTCTCTTGAGATATAACAGGCCTGTAGTGACACGTGCTGATGGATCTCCTGGGAGCTGCCCTTTGGTCAGGGCAGCCCAGTCCAGTCACCATGCCTGCCATTGCCCCTGAGCGCCATGACACAGCACATCTCCATAGCATGGGCAGTAAGCCTGGCCTGAAAAGAAGAGGGGAGGAGAGAGGAAGGTCCTGGGAACTGACTAGATTAGGAATAAGTGAAGGTTGTCTAGAAACCAGGGTCTAGTTTATTTGAATGTTTTCTGTCAACTCTGCCTTACTGACAAATATCTGATTTCTGAATAAAACCTTGGCAACCATTACATCCATGGTGCATGCTGGAAGTGAGCTGGACCTAGACACTCTTTCACAAAACTTTTATCCTGATTCATTGTGACCTTGCCACCATGCTGGTTTTGATTTCCCTGAATATGGGACCACTGTGGCAGCACAGATGAACCACATCACGGAATAAGGGAAAAGAGATGGCTACACTGTGTGCAGAAAATGGATCTCTCAGAATGAGTAACTTTCCCTGACTGGTGGGCAAAAGAGCGGCAAATGTACGGTTCACGCCTGCGTCCTGCTGTTTGCTTCTTTTACCCGATGCAACCCACAGTATCCGAATGAATCATACCCTTACAATTAATTACAGAATGTTGGGTTAAATTATTCTGTGATGAGGAGAGGACTTAGAATTAGATGTCAGTCCTAAAACTGCCCTCAAGCCTGGCTCTCCTGCAGATGGACTGGACGGAGCACTGAGAAGCATAAACTTATTAGACGATGGAAGATGGGTCCACAGCTGGGTGGGAGGCTGGGGTAGTTATCAAACAGATCACTTGTTACTGAGCCAAGTACTACTTAGGTTTCCATCACAGGCAACACAGGCTGCTGCAAAAATACTGTTCAATCTCCCATCTCATGCTGCATTTGTACTTTTCCTTATTTTATGTTACAAACAAGGTTCATACGTTAGCAAGAAGAGGGAAATAGGCCATGTGCGGCAACAGAGTCAGACCACCTGAAAAGAATTCTGTTAACATCGTTCATTTCCATGTTTTACGTATCAGGAAAGTTTTCTCTTTACTTAGCTCCTGGGTTCACAAAGGGCAGAATCCTATCATGCATTCTCTTTAGTGGTAACCAGTTTAGCTGGCATAGGCCAGGCTCAATGTCTTGTCTGCACTGAAAATTAAATTTAAAGTAAACTCAGAAAAAAGATAGTCAAGGGAACTTGTCTCCTCTTATGGCCATGCAATTTACCCATTGTAGGTGGACAAGGCTGGCTTGTTTATTGACAAAGAAAGTAAGGGAAGCTGGTTAGAGATATGGGCCATATATTCTGAAATATCAATGAATAGCTGTCATGTTTCATCTTGTACTTATATCTAAATACGTATTCTTGAATTCGTGTCCTTAAATTACTACTTTTCTAATGGTGATCTTGAGAATTGGAGTACAGGAAGACAACTCAAAGCACAGGATCATATGATAAAGGATAAAATGGATATATGAATGTGAAACACATGCCTTGGCCAGAATATACTCCATCATTTTTCTGTACAAATAAATCAAATTATAGAACGGGAGTTCCTACCTGGAGTCTTGAAGTTCCTCAGCTGAGAGGGAGTGTCATAAACTTCCAGGATCCAGTCACCAGCAGCTCGTTCTCCCCAGCAATGAATGGTCATGAACTCCCAATTTTTAAATCCTTCCATGGAATGATCAAAAAGCCTGAGAGAGAACCATAAAACATTGTTTTTGTATGTTATTTAAAATCTAGTGAGTGTCAAGTCATGACCATGATCAATGACCTCTCTGTATCTACCAGCATGTTCATCTCAACACTGCAGGTTGTCCCCACCCTGGGCATCACCGATTAGTACATCCAAATATATGCATATCATTGTTCTACCAGAGGGAAACAGGCATGGGGCTGGCTGTACAGTAACAAATCTGGGAGGGATAATGATGTGGGTATCAGGGAACCTAGGCTAAGACTCTACTCACAAGCCTGGTAGTACCAAGAGTTGAAGATGTGGAACAACTGAAGCTCTCTTACACTGCTGACTGCTGATGGAAACGCAAAATGGTGCAGCTGCTCTGAACAACAGTTTGACGATTCTTACCATATGACTAAACAATACCCGCCCCTCCCGCCCCGCCAGATATTTACCCAAGTGAAGACATACGTCCACACAAAGAACTCCACATGAAGGCTCACAGCAGCTTTATTCATAATCATCAAAAACTGTTAGCAATTCAGATGTCCATCGACTGGTGAATGGGTAAACAAATTATGGTATATTCACAGAATGAAATACTACCTAGTAATAAAAACTGTTGAACTGCTAATAACTGCAACAACATGAATGAATTTTGAAGGCATTAAGCTAAGTGGAAAAAGTCAGACACAACAGATCATGCACTATCTGATTCAATTTATATGACATTCTAGAAAACACTACTTAAACAAACAGATTAGTGGCTGTCAGGGGCTAGGAGGTAGGAGGCAGGGGCATGGTGGAAGTTTTGGGAATGAAGGAACTGTTTTATACCTTGAAAATAATGGATGGTTATGTAACCATATATATTTGTCAAAACTTATTATTCACATTAAAAAGTGAATTGTGTGTAAATTACTCTTCAATGAAAAACCATGCCCATTAATCTTATCCAGTTCAGGGAGTCATGCCTGGAACTGCAGCCTAAATTCTGCCCTTCCAGCCCGTCTAATAATTTTCTAAGTTCCTAATTCCCTATATGAAATCTCTTCCTGGAGTTACTTCTGTTTTCTGCGAAGTAATCCTGAGAGATACAAATAGAAAGGAAAATAAAAAGAATCCTCATCAAGAATCAAGAGATGTCAATAGATATGTATAAAATAGATATGTATAAGGCTAGCATATGAAGAAACAGGCATATTATTTACATAGGGATGTGATGTAGATTTGACTATCTGAAGAAATATCCAAAAGATTTCTATAGAGATGGGACCCAGAAAGTAGAAAATGAAAGATGGGGCAAGAGAAAAAAAAATTTTTAAGTACTTTTAAAAAATTATATACAGCTATTATTTTTGTTGGGGCAAACAGAGAGGGAAAAGCATCTCTAGCATTGTCTTAGGAGCAACCATGTCCAGTTACTGGGACATATCTGTCCTTCAGTGCAGACAAATACAAAGGTCATGACAAGTGGATGCTGACAGCTATTTAAGACATACAGTCACCTCTCTTTGCTTTACTTTCATGTTCACCAAGGAAACTGGTGGTTATCATTTGAACTTCCATGTGGATCTTCCCATTGGGAGAAAATGCACCCTTCTAAAAACAAAAATAACCAGTCTAATCTCATTATAACTTAATACATTACAATTCTGATTTTTTAAAGTGTTCTATCAATGTGTTTGAGGCTCCCTCTAAAATGCCAGCTGGATTCTAAAGCTGGAGGGTTCGGGGGCGTAACTAGGGACTGTGTTAGGTAAATGGCTGACACTCGGCAGCTTTCCCTGGAGAAAAGCAATAAACAGGAAAATCACCTGTTGCATACTCCTGAGGTCTTGAAAGAAGAAAAATAAAAAGTATTTAGCAACATTCTCAAAGTGTCCCATGGTCAGAAAATTGAGAAAAGGCTGAGTCAAAGTTGAACAGATCTCTTTACTGGAGAACACTGCAGATCTTTGGAATATTCAAATATGTTTTGTTAATCTCCATATGGGGTTAATGAGGGGCAGTGATTTTCAAACCTTATATGGACAGGAAGGCCTTTTTCTTTTTTTTAGAATATCTGTATACTACCTGTAACAGGTTACTTCTGAACCAAAGGGTGCGGCATTTCAACGAGGACCATATTGGATCTGGCAGCTTTCCCTCATGATAACGGGGATGGAAATAGTGGCTCCTTACATGAATGTCTTCCCACTGAAAATGATCTTCGATAGATTATGGATGGTACATACATCCAGGAGATCTTACAATCCACGCACTACCACAATAGGGCTTGTTTCACAAGTTTGTGGCTTGAAACTGGACTTGGCCAGAAAGAACTTGTTGGGTCATTATAAACACAATTGACTTACCTACTGGGTCCTTCATGTAAAACCCAGAAAGTGTGTGTTGGGTGAAAACAAGACACAGAGGTAGGGAAGGAGGAACCTTTTTAAATGGCACTTCCTGCCAGAGAGATGTTACTGAAGCGAATATTGTGACATAGAAATGGATGGAGGCAGAAAATTGGTCTAGAACCACTTCTTAGCCCAACAGTTCTAATTTCAGTTCTAATTCGTTGAGGCTATTGTGCCATTTGAGGGCACTGAGGCAACAACTTGTCATGTAATACCTTTCCAAGAGTGTCGAACTTAAAAGCAATTCCCAAACAGTTTAGACAGAACATTTGGCTCACGGCCTCATGTCCAAAAACTACAAAGGAGACTTGAGGCTGCCATCACATGAGGGGCAGTCTTGTTTCCACAACCTCAGCCAACTTTTAATTACTCATGGGTCAGTTATTTATTTGAGTGCTCGATTAGCAGACCCTATGTTTCTTCCCTTACACCCTTTCCTCTCCACCTTTGAAAATCATTCCATTGCTATCAATCATTTTAAAATCACATTTGGAACGAAAATTAAATATAAACTAGGTACCCAGAAGAACTATCCATAATCACCATTCAAATAAGTGTTTCAAAGCCCCAATGTAAACAGGCTTTGTCTATCTGGCTGAGTGGTTCCCAGCCCGGTCTCTTCACTTTATGCAGAGCTGGAATGCTCATTAGTTTCATGTGGACATAAAAGTTGAGGAGAGGAATTAAAATGCAGCCAAACACGATCACTGCATTTTGCTAACAGAGTTGACAGGGAGAGAAATAGACCCTGATTGTTATTGTTGTTTCAACTAGCTGGGCATTGACTTTTCTAATCCCCACGCTTTTATTTTTACTCTGATTCAGTACTTAAAACTATTCGCTATTTTTCGTATTGTACTATTTTAAAACCCTGCATCATCTGCATATAACAAAAGGTAATGTAGGTAGTAGACGAGATTTGTGTTGCAAAGAACATACTTGCTCAAACCAAGTGTCAAGCCACTGGACACCACTAAAGAGATTCTAACTGTGTGGTCTTCGTTTATCAACTAAAAAGTCCAGTGCCCTGTCTGAACGTCTGTGCTGTGCCAACAGTGAAGAAAAGAGACACATGCCAACATTATTAGTGTGGATCAAATGTCAATAAAGCAGGGCCAGTGTGCTGAAAGCTGGAGTACATTAACTCCATGCCCGTGTCCACATCTCCTATTGCAGTGAAACCCTGTTCTGTCAACTTGACTTCATAATCATGTGCTCAATGAAATGATATATGCATGCAGTGGCACAAATCATGTATCCAGTTATTAAAATGGTGCCCACAGCCCTACCCCTGTGAGCGGTTTTCGAATAAATTACCTTGGATGAAGATTGGTAGGAAGGACTGCCATTAAATGTAGTACGTCCTTTTGAGGAATTAACTCAGGAAATAACTCATATAATTACTGTAAGCTCTCCTTCCCCCTTTCATTTAAAGAGTCTAGCCAATGCGTCAAGGCTACAACATGCTTCTCTGATGTTATGGCAACTAAATAACAAGACATTTTGTAAGTACTGACAGCTATGTGTTATCATATAATTATTTCTCAAATTGTAAATGGACCTTAATTTCAGAATCATCCACGACTACCCAGACAGTATTTGTGTTCACTACAGAATTAGACATTAAACCAATATTTTGCAAGTTTTCTTTTTTCTTTTGGTTCTCTTTTTTGATTTTTAATATTTTTAGTGCTTCATCACAGTTTAACATAAAGCTGATAGAATGCTTAAAGCACTCATTTGGCTTAGTTGTAACTGAGCTTCTGATTTTCTTTAGATGTTTGGCTTTTGTAAGTTTTAAATAATTTCCTTCTGAAACGGTACTTAAAACACACTGTTAAGTTTTTCTCTCTCTTCTAATCTAAATTGCTTCTTTAAGAAAGGTTGAGAGAAAGGTACTGGTTCTAGAGGTTTGGAATACCTAAAAAGGTGAGTTTTCTAAAAAACTTTCAACGTGCCCCTTATTACTAACTTACCAACCCCGAAATGCATTCCGTCCCATGGGTACATGATGTAAGTGCTGAATCGTCTTGAAGATATATTCTTTAATAGTAGATGGCTTTTATCTAAATATCTGTTTTACATTATAAACTCCTCTGTAAATGACTTTCACAGCACCCAGCAGCATACTGCTCACAAGTTTTTTGATGACATGAAAATAAGAAGAATGTGTTTGAAAAAGCTGGGTGATCTTTTAAATCGGTGCTATTTAGAAGTCTGGTCTGTGGATGGGCAGCTTCAGCACCACCTGGGAGCTTATTAGAAATGCAAATTCATGGGCCTCACCTAGACCTCTAGAATCAGCCTCTCTGGGAGAGACCTGGCCATCTGTGTGTGACAGTCATTCACCAGGTGCTTTGAAAAGCACTGCAAAAAGAAGGGTTAGCGCTTATAAGTGCTCACTATGCTAGGAGCTTGCTGTAAGTTATGTTATTCACTACCTGTAACAACCCTGTGAGGCAGATACTACGACGTCTGTTTTCCAGATGAAAGAATCACTTTTCCAAAGTCGAACGTAAAAGTGGGTGAAATCAAGACAATCCCAGCTCTAAGCTCCAAAGGCTGTACCTTCTTTTGAATAAAGGAAGAGGGTTATTCTTATGGTGAGGCC